ACTCTTGCTATAGTTTGTTCTGAAGTTAATTTAGCTTCTGTACCTAAGGATACTTTGTGGGAAGATTCTGGTGCTACTACTCACATAAGTATGTCTATACAGGGTTGCCTGTGGAGCCGACCGCCAAATGATGCTGAAAGACGCATCTTTGAGGGCGATGGCAAGAAAGTTCTAGTATAAGCTATCAGAAACTCTAGATTATTATTAAAGACTGGTGATTATTTGGATTTGAATGAGACTTTTGTTGTATCGTCACTTAGACAAAATTTAATTTCTATTTCTAATTTAGACAAATCTGGTTATTCGTGTTCTTTCAGAAATAATAAAGTTAGTCTTCTTCATAATTCAAATGTTATTAGTATTGGTTCTTTAATTGATAATCTTTATATGCTTGATAATGTTACTTTTGATAAAGAAATTTTGCACACTAGTGTACGAGGTACAAAGCGAAAATTAAATGAGAATTCTGCCACCCTATGGCACAAGCGTTTAGGTCATATCTCTAAAAAGAGAATTCAGAGGCTTGTGAGTGATGGAATTCTTGGCCCCCTAGACTTGACAGATTTTCAAGTTTATGTTGAATGCATTAAGGGGAAACGGACAAACATAAGGAAATTAGGTGCCGATAGAGTTAAAGATGTTTTATAACTTATTCATATTGATATTTGTGGACCATTCCCTACAGCTTGCTGGAATGGTCAACAATACTTTATTACGTTCATAGATGATTATTCAAGATTCAGTTACCTATACTTAATACATGGAAGTCACAGTTAGTGGATGTTTTCAAGGAATTTAAAACTGAAGTTGAACTTCAACTAGGCAAGAAAATTAAGGCTGTCAAATCTGATCGGGGTGGTGAGAACTACGGTAGATATGACGGATCAGGAGAAAAATGTTCAGGACCCTTCGCTATCTTCCTAAAGGAGTGCAGAATCGTCCCACAATACACAATGCCAGGTAAGCCTAGCATGAATGGTGTTGTTGAAAGATGAAACAGAACTCTTAAGGACAAGGTAAGAAGTATGATTAGTCATTCTTCTTTACCTGAATCACTTTGGGGAGAAGCACTAAAGGCTGTAGTTTATATCCTTATTAACAAGGTTCCAAGCAAAGCCGTAACCAAAACCCCTTATGAACTATGGACAGGAAAAAGGCCCAGCATTAGGCACTTACATGTTAGGGGTCGTCCAGCTAAAACAAGGGCTTACAAGCCAAATGAAAAGAAATTGGACTCAAGAACGGTTAGTTGCTATTTGTTGGATACGCTAAACACTCTCGGGTCTTTAAGTTTTACAATCCCACTATTAGGTCCTTTTTTGGGACGAAAAATGCGAGATTCCTTGTTAATGTTGAGTTTGGGGGGGGGGGGGGGGGGGATAAAATAAGGAATGTTGTCTTTGAGGAAGAGGATTTTGTTTCTCTTCCTAATATTACTATTGGCAATTATCGGGCTATTATTCCTACCATTGTCCAAGATCAAACTCCAGTACAAAATATCAATGATTAGGTTCTTGTTCCTAACATTGTTCCAGAACAAGACAACAATGAGGTTCCCCTTATAGCACCTATTGAGCAAACTCAACAACCTCAAGAAGTGACATTAAGGAGATCCAATAGAGAAAGGAGAAGTGAGATTCCAGATGATTATATCGTCTTTCTCCAAGAACATGAAGATGTTGTGAGCTAAGGGAAAGATGACCCTATCAACTTCCAATAAGCTTTACAGATTTCTAATGCTTAAAAGTGGATTGATGCCATGAAGGATGAGATAAAATCTATGAAAGACAATGACGTTTGGGATCTTGTCAAGTTGCCTAAAGGAGCGAAACCCAGTGGCTGTAAATGGATATTTAAGACCAAAAGGGATTCGAAAGGTAACATCGAAAGATATAAGGATCGTCTAGTCACCAAATGATGCACTCAGAAGGAAGGCATAGACTATAAAGAGACTTTCTCTCTGGTTTCTTTGAAAGACTCTTTCAGGATAGTTATGGCACTTGTGGCTCATTTAGACTTAGAGCTACATCAGATGGATGTTAAGCCAACATTTCTCAATGGCGACATTGATGAGATGATTTATATGGTCCAGCCAGAAAACTTTGTATCTGGAGATTCAAAGTCTATGGTTTGCAAGTTAAAGAAATCCATCTATGGTCTCAAACAGGCTTCCCGTCAATGGTATCACAAGTTTCATCAAGTTATCACCTCTTATGGTTTTGAGGTGAATGTGGTCGATGATTGTGTATATCACAAGTTCAGTGGGAGTAAATTCATCTTCTTGATTTTATATATCGATGACATATTACTTGCCAGCAGTGATATAGGCTTATTGCACGAAACCAAGAAATTTCTTACTAAGAATTTTGAGATGAAGGATCTTGGTGACGCCTATTTTGTATTAAGAATACAGATATTACGAGATCGCTCTCGAGGTAGCCTTGGGTTATCATAAAAGGACTATATCGAAAAGGTTCTTGAAAGATTTGACATGAAGAATTGTACACCAGGAGATACACCCGTAGCTAGAGGAGATAAGTTTAGTCTCAGTCAGTGCCCTAAGAATGAACTTGAGATAAAGGAAATGGAAAAGGTTCCTTATGCATCGGCAATAGGAAGTCTAATGTATGCTCAAGTTTGTACTCGTCCCGACATAACATTTATAGTGGGTATTGGGCAGATACTTAAGTAACCCATGAGTGGATCATTAGAAAGCAGCCAAATAGATTATGTGTTATTTAAAGATAACAAAGGTCTACATGCTCACCTATCGGAGATCAGACAGTATAGAGATCATCGGGTATACTAATTCTGATTTTACTAGATGCCAAGACAGTAAGCGATCCACGTCAAGCTATGTTTACATGTTGGCAGGAGGAGCTATTTCCTGGAAGAGTGGCAAGCAGACACTCATAGCTTCTTCTACCATGGTTGTAGAGTTCATAGCCTGTTATCATGAGGCATCTAATCATGGGATGTGGCGGTGAAACTTTGTCACGGGGCTGCGTGTGGTTAATGGTATTGAAAGGCCGTTAAAGATATTCTGTGACAACAAATCGGCAGTGCTATATTCCAATAACAACAGAAGCTCAACGAAGTCAAAGCATATTGATATCAAGTTTCTAGTTGTTAAAGAAAGAGTTCATAAGGGTCAGATTTCAATAGAACGCATAGGGACAAACTCTATGCTTGCGGATCCGCTAACCAAAGGCTTAATGCCCGAGGCCTTTGATGAGCACACTGCTCATATACGTGTTATTTTGTTTGAGGATACTATGGTTTAGTGGGAGTTGATTTTGGACATTCTATAACATAAACATCTATTTGTTTATTTTCTGCAGAATAAATAAGATGGATTTACAGTTTTATAGATTTCCCTCTGAATGTGTTAATTTTATGTTTGCAATTTTGCATTATGTTTTGAAAATTACAGATTGATCTCATAAAGATTAAGGCATGACAAGATGAAAATAGGCATGTTGGAGATCACATTGCATGTAATTTCGATGCCACTCATCCATACTCGATCTATGTCAATGCATATGTTGGCGTGGTGACCATGGAAGGTTTAGTTGCATTTTGAAAGTGACAAAAGCGGCCATGATCTCATGCTAATATATGAGATGGACTAGATTGTACCTTAAGTGGAGATTAAGTATAAATAGCATACAGTTGCGCGCTTAAGAAATTATGTATGATATAATTGTTTCATGAATCATATGTAGCCCAAGTGGGAGATTGTTAAGAAATTACATTTCCTAATAATAATTATGGGCCACATATTTATAACAATTGTATTGACGCTATTTAATTAATTGGATTAATTAAGTAGTTTAATTATGGAGAGCCCAAATAGTCTTCTAACTGGGTATGAGCTAAATGGGCGGATACCCAATATTGACCCAATTAGGTTTAATGGGAGCCTAATGGGACAATATATAAAGAAACTTAGGTTATGGTTCCTAATACGTAAAATCAATCGGCTGTTTTTCCTCTTCTCCATCTAGAGAGAGAACACCCATTCAAGGATTTGGTGATTTGACTGAGAAAGACAATAATTCGACGTGCTCGTTGTCTTAGAGATTTATACTGGAGATTAAGGTGCACTAATAGAGACAAATATTTATTCTAACCTATTTTCTTAATAATTTGTTGTGATGATTCTTGAAATGTGGAATAAGGATTTAAAGTCTAACAAAATTTCCCCTTCCAAAAAATGGTGTCCTACTGTAAAATTTTTTGGAGTACAAGCCATTGGAGCCATTATTATAGTTTTAACGGTCGTTGGAAACCTTTCTCGGACAAAAAGTCCCTTAACTTATCGCATCTATGATTACGACCAAAAATAGTTCAGTTGTTGGAGAGATGGCCATCATGAATATGAGATTGAGGTTGACTAAGCAATAATATATTCTCTTCTTTCTGGCTTATCATTCAAGTTTGCGACATAGTTCTATTACTATCTCCATTATTAACTAACTATTCATGAAAAAGTTTCAGATATTCAAATTATCTTTACAAATTTGACCCCTTCCCAAATATTCCTCCGAATTACATAAAATAAAATTAAATTCATGCAAGAACATTTCATAATACTATCAATTATAATATGCATTACCACTTTTCAGTATTTTCATTTCTTCGCTAAGGTTCCCTAATTATTTCGTTCTAATCATTCCAAGCTTTACTTCTAGTTAATTCTCTCTCTGCAAATCAAGTCAAATCAAATCAAATGTCACATTTTGCTCATAAATGCAATATAATTCATCGCATCCTTGATTGGCTTCAGAACTCAATCTCATATAATTTTATGACTTATGAGCTAGAAACCACTGATCACACTCTTTAATATATAACTATTGGTACATTCAGGTGTTTTCAGTTTTACGGAAAACGAAAGTAAAGAAAGACCCAAAAAAAAAAAAAAAAAAAACAAAGTTCATGAATCAGAACGAGGAAATTAGAAAAAAAAGAACAAAAGAAAAAAAAAAAACCAAAACTAAGAAGAAACTGATGGAAAATAAAGGTTTCAGATATCATTTTTTCTTCTCCTTTTCCGAATCAAGAAGCTCCTCCAAAACTTTGTCATCCAAGTACTCAATCTCAAAAACCTCCTGTGGAGCGGCCACCGGCGGCGACGATCTCGACGAATCTCCCCTCTCGAAGCCCCTCTGCAAGCGGCCAACAGAAGAAGCGGCAGAACCAGAACTAGAAGGCGCAAAAGTAGAAGCAGAAGCAGAACCAGAAAATGATATGTGAGGAGGATAAGGGGGAGAACCCATGACCCTAGAATAGTACTCATTAGGGAAGTTAAGTATAGCAAGATGACCTCGAAAGTTAAACGCTGCCCTATCATAGGCCCTGGCAGCTTCCTCGGCAGTGTCAAACGTGCCAAGCCATAGCCGAGCTCCTTGCCGCGAAGGGTCTCTTATCTCCGCCGCAAACTTTCCCCACGGCCGCCTCCGGACGCCCCGATATCTCACGGCCTCTTCTCTGCTGCCCGCTCGGCCTTCGTTGTCCTTCTCTTGTTGGTCTTGATGATGATTCCTTCTGTTAGGGTTGTCCATGTAATTGAGTAGAAAAAAACGACGTAAACTTTTATTGATGGTTAATTGGTACTTTTTTTATTTTTTATTTTTTTGTTTCTTTGGCTCTCAAAGTTGGTGGGAGATGTGAGATTTATTGGTTGGATAATAATATATATATATATAGGTGTGTTTGATTTTGGTCTACAGATAGAATATAGTGGAGAAGAACGTGGATTGACTAATATCCCCATCATTCTTTCTTGGAAGCTTCTTGATATATATGAGAAGTGTCAAAATTTGATTCTTCGACTCCTTCTATGAGCAAAATAATATTTATTTTTAAAAACAGGGGATTTGTAAATCTTCTTTTTGGCTGATAGGCATATAATATATATAT